CACCTCCTCAAGGTTGAAAAACCTTTGCCAATTCCCCTTTCCTTGTGTCTCTGTTAAAATAAAATCCCATAACTCCAGACTCCTGGGCTTTGGTAAGTGGCATGTCTGACTTACGTATGATTTATAAATTATAGCTATGGACCATTAAGATACATTTCTCAGCTTTAAGTAAGCTACAGTGGTGTCATATACGGTGGTTTTGAATTTCTGAAGAAGCCAAGTACATAGTAGTTGACGACCCAAATAATTCAAATTCCATTTGCCTTTGTGGAAGGCTTTTTTCCCTTAGTACAGGTTTTCTTTTTTTTTTTTTTTTCTTCCATTTTCTTCTCCTCTTAGAGTTCTGCCTTATTAAAATCTTTACTTCTAAATATGAGTAGTCAGGAGTTCTTAATGCCACCCATTGCTCTACAGAAATGGTTATTTTTGTCTAAAGAACATCTTACCGCTGAAGGGACGAGTGGCTTTTTCTGGTAACGGCGCTAACACAGAAACAGTTTGGACTCTCACTTGTTGCCCCTGACTTAGGGTCGATGAATGGTAAGACTGTGAAGTTTTACAAATGCCAAGGCTTGGGAGTGATGTTTCCCCCTGTGAGGGAAGAAGGCTGTGTGTCACACTGTCTTAAGAGCACACGGCACCTAAAGGGGGATTAGGTTTTATTTGCGCTGCTCTCTTGATGGCTTTTCTTTGGAGCTTCCCAGACAAGAGACTCTAAGATTGCCAGAAAGCCACGTGAAATGGACCCAAGTCTCTGTCCAATCTGGGAGAATCTGTGATGGTTCATGGACAAGGAATAAAGCAATTAAAGCAATATGCCCGTTAAATACTAGAACGTATTTCGACCCATGAATTCTGGTTTGAGAAAATATGCGGGAAGGTTATTAGAATTCTTGGAGGTTGAGTTTGGGCAAAACTGCTAAAAATGATAAGGCGGGATTACTCTCCTCTCTCTTTTTCTTTCCCAAGATTTATAAAAGAATGAAGTATGAGCTACCGAATCTATGTGGCTATGCCTCCCTAATACTATCTTTTTTGAGCTAGAATATTTGTCTATAAGTCCTCCTCCCTATGGAGGACTCAGACCAAGAGTCACTTGGATCAAATAAGTCTCCCCAAATATACACAATAATACAGTAATGACCTTGACCTTCTCCTTCCCCAGTCCTCATTCTGCTTTAAGGGAGAAAGCATTTTTAAGTTAAAAATAAAAACACATATTGTGTTGAATTTTTAGCTTTTTCTCTTTCAAACTAAAACCAAGAAAATCTTTTTAAAGAAGCGGGCCGAGGGACGGGGGCAGAGTACAAACAAGTAAACCAACCCGCCTGACCTGCTTTCTTTTTAAGCATCCAGTAATATGATCATTTTGTAATAAATAACTGAGCTCCTACCCCCTTTGGGAAATTCTGGCTCCCTGTTTCTTGAATTGTGTCTACTTTGTTCAGAAGGTGTAGGCGGTCCCATTCTAGCCAGAGAAACCAGATCCAATTTCCTTCCTTCTGATTTGCATTGTTTGTGAAAAAGCCCAGCGGCTGTTTTAAATAAGTCTGGCCTCTGGTTAAAGTCTAAGCGGGTAGTGAGATCCACCCAGAGCTGAGTGTTTCTGACACTCTCCGCTGCTCTTGGCCTAGGGTACTCAGAGTATTAGACCCCAGAAGCAGCCAATTTTGTAGTGCCTTTTAATACACAAAATTGTATTAACATCAACATGGATACAGATGGATGCACCGCAATAAACTAACCACTTGAGAAAAGCCTTTATTGACTCTCAAGTAAATAATGCACATTTTAAAGGAGCTAAATATGCATTGACATAATGTGCTATAATTTTTTATTGTGTCAACTACTCACAGCACACACATCCATAAGAGATGTTTTTCTCTGTCAAAAATTTGGACGGAGACCCTTCTTTGTGGATTGCATTAGCGCCACGCCAGATTCGCAACCGTAGAATTCTCCCAAGTGGTAGTGTCTCTTCTGTGGGACCCTGATCTGAAGATCTCAACGTACGTTTAGTGAATTTTACAGATTGAGTGATGGACTGATTTGACCCCAACGGAACTTTCTAAAATGATTGGAGACAACTTTGGCAAAAACTTAGGCACGATGAAAACATCTAAGTCAAGCTAAAAGAGAGAAAGGAAAGAACTAGGAAAGAAGAAAATCCAAATTTAGATGTTGCTGAAGGCTGAGCTTTAGAGAACGGACGAACATGGGTCTCATCCAGTAAAAGAGTGATACTAGCAGTTTATCTAGAGAAATAGCATGTATTTAATAATTTTTAAGAGGTCTGTGTAATGTCTGTAACACAACTATTTTCTGTTTGAAGAAATTAAAGCTCAAGATCTTGAATGATTGATATACCCAGTTCCACAATAAGCTAATGGCTGAACACCAGAAAGTCCAAGACATGAGAAAGTAAGGGCTGTGAGGGATAACCCTTGGAAATGCAGACTCAGCAGTTGCCTAATTTGAAACTACAGGCTAAATGATTTCCTGGTACTAATTAAGAATTAATTGGTCCTTATAAGTCAGTCATTACAGAATTAATTTCATATAGTACCATGTGTTCTTAGGTTTGTGTTAAACTCTGTGCCACAAGGAAAAGGTGAATTGTTTTAGTAAAATATAATAAAGAAACGAAGGTCTAAAGTTAAGTTGCTAATGATATCCTTTTAGTAACAAAGAGTGCTAGGATGTTTATTAGCAGTCAAAGGGAGGGATTCCAAGATCCGTTGACTTCTTCCCTCTATCAACTTTAACTTTTATCCACCTGATCTTTACTCAAGTGAATATTTTCCCTTGCATTCTTTGTTGGCCACCACAATTTTTCATAATCAAACAATCATTTATCACTTTCCATTGAGCACCTGAAGCACTGTCACTTTATCATTAAGGTCTGCTTGCTGGGGACTCTTGACAGTGGAGTTCCCACCTTTGTGTTTGACGTGCTGCCCAAGTGGAGTGTATCATTTTGTTATGCTTAAGTACATTCCCAGCCTTGTTTGGGAAATGCCACATTCCATCACTGACTAGAAACTATTTGGTCAAATGCAGGGTGAGGGGTCAAATGTTCTTGCTACCAGCAAAGACAAACCATACCATATTAGATGAACAAAACAACTTTGGTTCCTTAAAGCACCATTTGCAAAGTAAGAGATGACCAGAGCCATTTAACTTCTTCACTTATGGGTTGTTTAACTCAGAGAAAATAACAGATCCCTAAACTCTCTGGCTTTTTGCCAGGTGGAAAAAAAAAAAAAAGTTTTAAGTCGACTTGTGTGGTTCTTGATTTCTGTACCACTCTTGCATTCAGTCAATGATTGTACATTCAACTAATATTTGTTGAGTACCAAATGGTGTTCTGGGGATATGACAGTGAACAATTATATAGATGGAAAAGCTATTTTCTAAGACAGGAAAGATTGGAAGAGAGCAGGTATAAAGGAAGGAAGAGGACGAGAATTCTGGTTTCAATAGGCTGTGTTCAAGATGCCCTCAATTGTATGACTGAAAATAAAATTTTGTCTGTGTTGGCCCACCATGGTATCCCCTGACCAGAGTAGAAGCCCATCAGTGTTTATTGGATAGATTAAACATTTTGTGAATGAAGGGGTCCCGTCAGATCATCTGCAAGACATGGACTAGGCTATTGCTTCTACTCCAAACCCCCATTTTCACTCTTTAAAAACTAGATGCTATTCTGAACCTGAAAGTCCTAGCCATTTCAATAGTCAGAAAGTGCCCCAGAACTAAAGCCATCCCAGTAGGGAACAAAGAACCCATGCCCAGTGGTCAGTGGGGCTGGATTATTTGTATAGTCCTCAGCCACGCTTATGGTGTGTGATAGGGAGTGTGGCTTCTCTTTCTTAGTCTGCTCTACAAGCCCCTTTTGGTATTAGGAAAGTCTTCCTCTCCGGAAACTGAGCTATTTCTTTGGTCTTTGCAGTGATTCCCTGAGTTTGAAGACTTAACTGCAAAGAGTAAGGCAAGATAAATATTCTCATCTGCTTTTATTTGAGAGCTGTTTCGCTGGCCCTCAGTGAGAAGTGAGAGCTGCTACCTTGGTGTTTCTCGGTTTGAGTATCCCCAACCCTTCCCCTAGGCTGCTCTCCTTCTCCAGCAGATTTCATCAATCACACTTCCAGTTCAAGGGCAAAAGTTCTCTCAGAGACATTATCAAGCGGCTCACATAAGTTTTTTAATCTAATGTAATCTTCTTGTACAAATAAAATTTAGCAGGGCTCAAATAAAAAGGAGTCATCGTTGTCTGAGTTCTTTTATCAATTTTTATGGACAGAAGGCTCACAGTTGAGCAAGGGTCACTGCCTACTCAGCCTGTGGGTTCCCCTGCTCTAATATTTATGCATTTCTGAGTTTGGCTTTGAAATAACAAAAAAAAAAAAGGGGGGGGGGGGGGGCGGTGGTGCTGCGTAAACCTTCCATGTAAAGCGAGGCACCCAAATTGCACAGGTTCATTAGGTGATCATTTACTACATACTTCAAAAAAATTTCATCCTGTATGAGTCCCTAGAAATTTCCTTGAAAGGGGTATAAGAGCTTTAACAATGAATTATTGTCTATGGGTTAGCTCAGCATGGAAGAGGAACCATACGTGCAAACTAGAATTTGTCATATGTAATGTCAGTTAAATCAGGTCTAATCTACCAAATACATTTTTTATTGCTTGCTTCATTAAAAAGGCTCTTAAGGTAATGAATAATCTTCAGCTTCACCAAGGATTATTAATGCCTGTATAACTCATGTCCCTGAAAATGGAAAGACAGCCTGAAACCCTACGCTAATCTAACCTCCATGTTTGTCTTAGAGCCTTAAAGAAGGAAATCTATCAGACCTAGGCAATGTTAAATTCAGCCACGTGAGCAGTGCTGTGAGTTGGGTCAGGAAGGAAAGGAAGAAGGAGGTTGGATCGGGTGTGGACGCTGTGGCAAGGCGGGACTCTCTCTTCATGACTCTGATGTTTTCTTTTCCTACAGCAAGCCCGCACGCAACACCGTCGACTCTTCATTTCCCGACATCGCCCATTATCCAGCAGCCCGGGCCTTACTTCTCTCACCCAGCCATCCGCTATCACCCTCAGGAGACGCTGAAAGAGTTTGTCCAACTTGTCTGCCCTGATGCTGGTCAGCAGGCTGGACAGGTGGGGTTCCTCAATGTAAGGAGACCTCTTTTTTTTTTCCGATTTCTTTAGAAATAGTACCCAAATGTAAAAATAACAAGGGGAGACCTTCTGACCATGTGACAGGGCGCTCTAATGTTGTGCTGACGGACTGTAGACAAATGTCATATTTATTCTAGATTGTGGGAAAGTTAACTTGCTCTAAGAGTGATTGGCCAGGGTTTAAAAAGTGTTTGTGTTAAGTTCGCAACTGTCAAGTTTATGGGTATAAATCATCTCAAGGGTGAACCGTATAACCTTCTAAGGTCTGTGGGCTGATAATTCCACCTCATGTACACTAACCCTCGGGCTCACGCAGTGAACCAAATAGAAAGACCAAATAATTTTAAATAATGGTTTGGGGTGGTAGGGAGAGGTAGGGGGAAGAGGGGGGCACAGATGTTTCAGATCAACTAAGTTGATATTTTTTAAAAATACAGTCTTCTAACACTTTAGATCAAGTTGACCAGTACTTGAACTCAAGATACTGGAAGCACAGTTTATTATGGTTTGTTATCTCTGCAAGTAGTTATCTTTCCCACTTATCTTTGTATAAAGCTAAACAGCATTCAACAGCGTCAAATGAATGTTTTCATCTTTTCTCTAGTAAACCAAATAATCACAACTTGAGATGATATTCCAAACGCAAAAGTGATTTTTAAAAATCGCAAATTTTATTTCAAAGCCGAACTAAGTGTTTACAGTTGGATAGTGGTGTCCCAAGGCCACTAATAATAATAAAGACTAGAAAATAATGACCAGCGTAAAGCCAAATGTGATCTTCTTTTCTCCTAAGGGCTACGCTTGAAGCCGCAGTTCAGCTGTCATTATTACTGCCTAATTGAGAATATTATATCACACGGCCCTGTCACTGATTTTTCTTCCCTTGCAGAAATACCTGATTCTGCATATCTGAGACAGAACCGGCAGCTTTGACTAATGTCTGGTGATGTGTTAGCAGATACATTTCTGTCTAGACAACAAATCAATATGGGGCCTTTTTTCTTTTTGCTTGTGTATTCATTTGCTTGGCTTATTGTAAAGCATTCACTTACGGACTTTTAGCCCACTCAGAGTAACATGCGAGCAGGTTTGCTGGCAAGAAAGCATAGCATTCTGACTGTCAGACGAGATAGTCTTTGAAGAACAATACTAAATATATATATATATATATATATACATATATATATATATATATATATATATGAGAACGTGGGTGAGGGGCTGGCTGAGGCCGCCTCTGCAAAGTTATTAGGCTTACACTTAAAAGCCTGGGACAACTGGTTCTCCTTCACCTGAATTTTGATTTAGGATGACAACCCAAATACCAGCTGTGATTATTGGTCGTGTACAGTGTCACCAAAGTCCAGAGTCAGAAAGGCCACATGGGAGACCATGAAAGATCTGAAGTGATCACCAGCATCAGGCATCTGACTTTTAAGTTTCTAACTTTTTTAAAAATAGTCCTGACATTATCCTGTATAACTGTCAAACTCCCAGTTTTGCATTTTGATCAAAATTTTATAGGGTTTAAGGCAGGTCTCTCTTCGTGGGACTATTTTGAAAAACTTGAAAATAAAATGGATTTTACTGCTTTCTTCAGAGGGGAACTTTCTTTTGTCAAAGAGCTGTGATTTGGTTGTTCTAACATCAGGCAGCCAAATAAATATGACTGTTATGGCATATGCTTATATAATTTAAATCAAAATTAGAAGTGATAGTTTTCCCTGGCAGAATTTTGACAGCTCAATTCTAAAGTTTCTGTGCCTGATGTTATACAATATGTGAAAGAAATTTTTTATGTTCACTTAACATATTTATTAAATGTTATATAATACCAACTTTGAGGAGTGAAAATAAAATATTATTTTTAATTTCAAATGCGTATTTGGGCAACATCATTATATCTGTGTAAGTAGACAGTATGGAATAATTCCACAACCTACAAAACACTTGTGTATTAAATAAATACTAATCGTGAGAATGATGATGAAGGTAGCAGTTAATACAGAAGTGAAGCATTCCAGACAAATGCTGGCAGGTTGTTTTAGGGATGCAGGATGTACAGAAGGTCAAAGTAACTCGAGAGATAAGTTTGGGATACATTGAGCATGTGTGCCCAACGCTATGCTTTTGTGAAATGCCTCAAGAACAACCCAACGGTTTTTTTAATCTCTATACTCTGAAGGAAGAATTCAAGCAGCTAGAATACTTGGTAATTTTACATAAGAGGCAACTAATGCATTGTCTTTCGTTTTCAGAAGCAGCTAACGGTTGATATCTGTTTCTTCTTTTCCCTCTGCGTCTTTTGTTTTGCTCCTGCCTTCGCAGCCCAATGGGAGTAGCCAAGGCAAAGTGCACAACCCATTCCTTCCCACCCCAATGTTGCCACCGCCGCCGCCACCACCGATGGCCAGGCCTGTGCCTCTGCCGGTGCCAGACACAAAGCCTCCAACCACGTCAACAGAAGGAGGTGCAGCCTCCCCAACCTCACCAAGTAAGTATGGATGAGCCGAGGCGCCGGTCGCTTTTCAAGCTCTATTTACTGGAATCCTCTTTTAAGTCTGGTCCCTAACTGCATAGGCTCTAGCGATAGACCCAGATCCCCGGGGATGGTGACAGCCTGAGTCTGCAGAGCCAAGACCAGATCACAGTGAACCCCACTAGTGGGTAGTATCAGTGACAACACATGTGGAAATGACCGGGTGTTTGGTGTGGCTACGTGCCCAAGACTGAACTCAAGATATGACTTATTAAATTTTGCACCTTATTTGAGTGGCTTTGAATGCTCTCCTCCTGATAATCACACGGTGCCCACTTGCATGAATTCCCAGTAGCAAAAAGTTCCTTTTGTGTAGCCCCGCCATAACTTACAATCCAAGAAAAACGTACTTGATGAGCTATAAAGGCTGTTCACTTTATACATCAAATAGGTTAAAAAAAAAAAAAAGTTTAAATCAAAGTAACAATTCAAAGGTGCGTACCTTGAACACCCACCAAGAGTAAGAGCCTGGCAGAAGATCAGAGCTGGTAGCCATGGAATTTGCTTGGCCAGGTGTGTTGCGGGGAGGGGGACCGGAGGTGGGGAGGAGATAGAAAGTATAATTGGATGGAAACAGAAAAGAATTCTTGGCTCTTCTCTGAATAGTATGGGAACATGTGATCAGACAATATGAGATTTCCAAACTTTTTTAGATGATAGGAATGATGACTTGCTGAATTAGAGGGATAGTTCCCAATATTTCAGAGATGACAAAGGAATAGAAATAGCTCAAACACACAAATTTGACTTTTATTAGTACCTGGAACGATGTCAAAAAGTGATGGCCAGAGGCAGAGTTCTGAATTGATGGATGGATGACCTAACCTTGACAGAGGGTGTGATAAGCACCTCCCTAAAGCTTTACTGAGGGATCAAAGTGTAGGAAAGGGTAGGAAATGTGACAGTAATCCTAAGGAGAGCAGGTCTCCAAGGAGTTCTTCAAAAGTGAGACTGGAGGCAAGGAATGTACTGAAGAAAAGATTAGAGTAGACCAGGGAAGAAGTGTTAAGATAAGAACTTGAAGAGCAATTACAGAAGTTGAATGGACGAGAGCACAAGGAGGGTTTCTTTGTAGACATACGCTCTGAGATTGGACAGTCATTTCATTGACTATAATGAAGGATGATTCTAGGCCTCTTAGGTTCCATACTTTCAGTTTAGGGGACATGATGGTCTTGGGTGTAGGAGGTAGAGAGCCAAAGAGGAAAAATAAGCTTCTGTTGACACTGTGTTCATTGGATTTAATTCTGGAGACACTACACTCCAAAATGGAGCTCTTCGTGGACATGTCTTTGAGGGTGAACTTTGGGTTGTCTAGTATTTACTCATTTTGATAACACATATGGAAGTGAGTGGCATTGTGCTTGGATTCTGGTATCACAACAAAAAGATTGAGGGTGTAGGGGCAGTTTTGTGGGAACCCACTTCTCTTGATAAGAGGTGGTTCAACCCTTTCCAACAAAGGAGAAAACCTGAACATCTATTGACTTAGGAAACAAAGAAGGCCTGGTCTATGGATCTTGGAAGCTCAGCTTGAAAAAGAAGCTTCCGAGAAACAGAGACTCATAGCTGCGTCCTGCTTATTGTGCATTAATGTAATATCTTCCAGCAAGTTAGAGAAATCACCGTCCCCAAACTCTATTTAAATCTGGTCACTGGGGAATGCCGGCCTACAGTTTGGTAGCCACCTAATTACCTCCATGTACCACTCTTCTGTTCATCTTCTGCCGGTTTGTGCAGGACAATGACACAGTTCTTTCAAAGCCTTGTGGTAATACTCTAGCTATCCCGTTTACACATTGCCCTCCACTACCCCTGTCTCCTGCATCTGTAGTGCATTTTCCAGTAAGGGATGGGGCCCCTCAGGCACCATTTAAGACTAGGGATACCGTGTGCAGTTATGGAAGACTGAAAGATAAGGACTCAGATCCCCACCTTTCCCATCACTAGCTGTGCTTCTCTTCCAATCAGTGTCCTCATCTGTGGAATGTAAGTGATGATCCCTGCCTGGCAGGGTTGTATGGAATCAGCCATGATAAGCACCACCACCAAATAAATTGGAACATCTTATTATCTGCCAGAACTCTGGCCTAGTAGGGTCCCCAGGCTTGGGTAATGATGAAATAGGTCTGTAGGACACATAGAGCGACTCAGCCTCTAAATAATATTGTTGGCTTTGGGTCCCTACATCTGGATTCCATGCCATGGATTGAATCAAGTGCCTTGTATGAGAAGGTATCTGTCATCCTGTCATGGCCAGACTCAAGCATTCCTTCAGCATTATGGGAAGAAGTCTGGAGGGGGTCCTAGCAAATCCAGTTGATGTGGTTGCATGTCCATTAGAACAGGTTCGAAGATTTTGGGGAGAAGGAGAATATCAGGAGAGAGAGGCCCAAAAGTTTGATACAGGTAATTTGATACTCACTTTTTTTTTTAAAGATTTTATTTATTTATTTGAGAGAGCAAGGAGCACATGTGAGCTAGCACAAGCAGGTGGGGAGCAGAGGGAGAAGCAGACTCCCTGCTGAGCAGGGAGCAGGGGCACAGGGCTGGAAACAGGACTCGGGGATCATGACCTGAGCAGAAGGCAGATGCTTAACCGACTGAGCCACCCAGACACCCCTGATACTTACTTTTGAACCATATGATTCTAGGAATGTAGGGCAAAACAAAATGTTCTGCTGTGGCATAGAAATACTTTTATCATCATAAAGTCTAACCCTTGTTTCTGGGCTTTTTGGAGTTTGCTGAAATCACAATAATGTGTCATTTCACAGCAATATCTTGCCTTACTATCTTTTCCTTTATTAATAAGAGTGGTAGGCTGGGGGACCCATAAGTTATAACGTAGGAAAAGCCTTTCAAATTAAAAATCTCAAAGCCCACTGGTCCACACTGGGAAGAGATTTAAGAAACCCCTTCCAGGCCTCCCCCCCCACACACACAAAATCCTCTTCCATGCCCTAATTTCTGAACCAGTTGATAAATAAAAGCAAAACTCAAGATTGGAAGACCAGACGATCACTTCTATTATTGGAGAATTTAGTTTATAACTGTAGACGAATTTGCTTCCTAATGCTGAATCCCCGAATTACACAGTCACATCTCCAGTCACGGGCAGTGCTGGACCACCACAGGCCTTCCCAGGGGGGTCTACTCTCCTGTTTAGAGACCATAGCATGGAGGTCCAGATGGCTGTATGGCAAGAGCAGGACAAGTCACCCCTGGTTTCTACTTCGAAACTCTGCAGTCTAGAGAATAGAAAGTGAGCGCGGGAAAGGGACAAAAGGATGTGGAAGGGTACGAATATCAGAGTGAAATCGCCTCCCCCTCTCTTCCCATTCATCTTGATGACTACTTCCTTCCGTTTGCTTATTCAGCTCTCATATAGTGAGCACCCGTGATGTGTTAGCTGCTTGGGATACAGAGGTGATTAATCCCTGCTCGTCAGAAATGTGGAATCTGCAAGGGGAGACAGCTGGGAAATGAGTAGTTTACAGGAGGCAACACTGAGGCACAGGCATGGGTTCTACAAGAGCACTTTGGGAGGGAGTTTGGTCCAGGCCCAAGAACTCAACTAAAGATGATTTTGGAGAGGGCGACTTCTATGCTGTTTAGTAGGGATAATATTCTGGCGTTTTAAATCTGAGAAAGAAGGTAGAACTTTTCTCCAGAAACCAGCCTGGTGGGGGGAGGGGATGTCTAAAATTAGATTACCGCTGAATAAAAATTTAGGGCAAAAAATACAGTTTCATAATTTATGTGCTTTCTTAGAAATTAAAACCACAGCGGGGTTGGGTCCTGTTTATCTTTGCCAGTTTATTAGAGCTCAACTTTAGCATGAAGAATCAGGTATTAAGTACTGATGTTCAGCATCCCAATGGTATGGCGGAAATTGAGGCTTTTTTTTTTTTTTTTTTTTTTCAAAAACAATAATTGTGGAACCTAGGACAGCCTTTTCTATTTGGGATTTGAGATGGCTGGCAGTAAAAGAAGATTTAAAAAAATAAAAGTAGGAAATCCTGCCAAGGGTCTTCTCTATGACCGACATTTCTGGGCTTCAAATTCCCTTATCTGTTAACGGGACTACCACTGACTGCTGTACCCACTCTCTCGGGCAGATTGTCAGGACAAACTGGGGTGACAGATGCACTATGCTGTAGACAGTTAAGAGTCCAAGGCGTAATATTTAATACCATCTTATAATGAAACACAAATGGATGCCAGCCTACAGCCGAGGATATATTTTTAACCTAATCAGTTGCCTTTGGCACCAAATACCCCACTTTGCAGCTGTGGCCAGAAAAACATGGGTAAGGCAGATTTGGGAAAGAATTTGCCTGTGAAATAAATACATTTTAATGGGAAAAATCCTTACTAGTGCCATAAAACAACAACAACAACAACAACAACAACAACAACAGGGGGTGGGTGGAGTTAGCAGTTCTCTCTCTCAAGAACTTTTTATACTGTGATTTGTTTGGAGAGAGATTGATACACTACTATGCCAGGTCTGTTTAGGATATGGTGATAAATAGAGATAACCTGTAAGAGTAATTCACAACGGATGTATCCTGTTCCCACTGACTAATGCCTTTGTAAGTTTAGATACCCACTGAGAGACTATCACTTCTTTCATTCATTCAGTAAATAGTAATTGACCATGAACTATGTGCCAAGTCGTGTTCTGGGTGCTAGGACATAGCAAGAAATGAAAGAGGTTTCAATAATTCCCTGGTCTCATGGAGCGCATGTTGTAGAGAGGGAAGAAAGTCAACCCACAAAACAGTGAGTGGAAAAGGCAGGGATGATGTAAGATGGTGACATGTAAGCGGATCCTGGAGGTGAGGGTGTGACTGTCCCTAGGGTGGCCAGAGAAGTCCTGTCTGAGAAGAGGAAATTTGAACAAAGACCTGATGGAAGTGGGAAGGTGAGTCTCTTACTAAGACTGTAGG